AAATACGGGTTGCATGAAGGGATTTCAAAGAACACGGTTACAGTTCCACTGAACTCTGGTTCATCTAGATTTCAGTACCATAAAGAGATTCCTTTTTTCCCCCTCATTTACCCAATTCCCTTTGCTGGTGCTATTCATAAAATTCATAATCTGGTTCTGAATACCCTTTCTCATTTAATTATTGTTATAATGTTGCAGTTAGTAAAAGAAAGAAACATTTTATGAAATGAAATTAAATCAAGACATAATAAATGCTGAGTACAGAAGACGCTGCAGGCAGGCTCAGCACATGTCGTGTTAGTGCTGGTTCCAGACCTGAGTCCTCCCGGTCAGAGGGTGTCCAGCTTCCGTCTCTGGCTTCTACTGTCCCGTGGGATTGAGAGAAGGGCCATGAGGGCAAACACCCAACTGTGTTTCTATAGGGCTGCCCTTCCTCTGCTGCCACAATTTTCAAGTAGGGCTTGGGGACACTGGATTTAAGAGCAAGTCCGGTGGTTCTATTTTTATTTGCAAACAGGTAAATGCCAAAGTTATACTGCAGAAAATGTGGCTTCAAAGGTTAGAAATATTTCTACTTTTTTTTTTTTTTACCCACAACTGATACCTCTGTGTTTTCTACAAGTTATTTATCCTTGAAACTTTTTTCCACTTAAATAGTTTTTTTTTTCACATTTCAGACTCATTGCAGAGATTAAACAAGATAAAGTGTAGGCATTAACTAGCTTACAACAGTCATACAGTCATTCAGGAAATTGTGGGATTTGTTTTCTCTCTGAGCATCATTCAGAAACATCAATTCCTAAATGGATTCACACCACCCAAACTGCACACATCCACACCTTCTTCACTGTAAACTGGCTTACAGAACTTGCTTGCATCAGGGGCTGGATCAAGCAGTGAATAGTGTTGGGGAGAAATGAAGTGGTAGGCAACATACACTCCATTTGTTGGTTCCCATTTGGTATCCATACTGAGTCCTTTGTCATGACTCAGGGCTGAACCAACTGCTTCCTGGAAGCCCAGGCCACTGCTAACCATACCTTAGGTATGTCACTATACCTCACTGAGCTCCGATATCAACACTCATCTGGGTAATATTACAGCAGTGCCCACAATTCCTGATTGCAAGTGCCTGTGTCACACATCTCCCATAAGGTTGTGTGGGTATGAGAGCATTACCCAAACTTGAGCAATACTAGAATTATCTGGAGCGTTTGTTTAAATGTAGATTCCTGGGCCCTGCCTCACAGACGGTTGGAGCAGGTCTGAGGGGATAACAAGTGTGCAGAGGCTGAGGAGCACACAGGACTAGGAGCTGCAGGACTGTGAACACACCCGAGAAGCAAGAGCGCACTGACTGCTTTTAACGCGGTCTCTGGCACATAGTGCTCAGCAATGTTATGCTCCTTATGAAACTTCAATTACTACTGTTGCTCCTACTTTATAAACTCCTTTTTATAATTCCTGAAATCTGTCTCCTTCCAGTCACCCATTTGCCAATGGATCCACAGGGCATGGACAATCCAGTTTCCAGCAGGATACTATCAAACTTTCGGAATCAGCTCCTTCCCTGACACCTCCTGGGGATTTTCACTTTTTCAGCTCTCAGCCAATTCCAGGCTGTGGGAATTATTTCAAGACCATGTTATGGATCAGGAAATTGAGGCATGATGGAATTGCCTGTTGACCAGGACTTAGCTAGAGGAGGGCAGTATCAAAAATATCTCAGATAAGTAAACCCAGAGATGCCATTAATTCTTTTCACCACTGACCGATTTAATCAAACCACCATGATTTGTTGTTTCATTATGTTTTCCCGGAATGGCCTTGCATGGTTCTTTGACTTCACTGAATAGCTATTTTGACAATAAGCAGACACAGCCGTAATTGTCAGTAAGAACACTGAGATAGGATCTGTGATAAAGGGGGGGAAAAACAACCAAAAATATCACACTTGGATGTCAAAGATTTCCTGCGAATAGCACCGTGGCCTTGGGGAGTTCTGGTTTTGGAGCATGTGCTTTGCACTGCTGTTGCTCCCCATCCAGATCCTACAACTCAGGGTTGCAGGGGGCTTCTCCTCCCTCCAGTTCCTGGGTTTAGAACTCTTAGCTGGCCTTGCCTCAGCAAGCACTGATTTAATTTAATGCAATGATTCTCAGAGTGTGTCTGTTCTATTTCGTGCCACACACCCTTCCCTTGGCAGCTGCCTGCTCCCCTCAAATGGCCTGATGGAGATTTTGTGTCTGCAGTTTGGGCTGCAGAGGGATAAATGGAATACACAGCAGCTTCATGGCCAGGCTGAGGCTCTGTGTGCAGGGGTCAGTGGCTGCCCAGCATGACAACACAGTCCAGCACAACACAGCTGCACATTGTAAAGAGGAAGGGGTCTCAACATGGGAGCTCCTAATTGGAAGGGACATTCATAGGTCCTGGGAAGGGAACTCAACTATAGAGATTTCTTTAGGGAAATGCTGGTACTCTTAGTTGTGGTAGTTGCACTGAAGAGAATCCATTCTCCAAGCAACTTGGAAAAGGAAGGCTGGAGGGTTCTGGGCTGGGGGATTACCATTCCATCCTCTAACATTGCAAGCAACCCCTCACCTCTGCAAAAATACTTGAGGTTCCCCTCCAAAAAATATGATCAAAACTGTGTACAGCAACTGTACTTCATATCTGCTGCTTAAACAAATAATAAAAATCCCCTTGACCATTGAAGGGGATTTTATTAAATAAACATCATGAATCATCAGATCCAAGCCTAAGAAGCTATTATCTTGTTAAGAATAAAACTTTCTGAGAAACAGAATCCAAACACCAGTCTCTGCAACTGTAGTCTTGATTCGTAGTATAATTACAACCTCGTGGACAAAGATGCTGTCCACAGGTTGCTGTGCTCCAGAGTGGTGGATTTCAACCCTGGCATCAGGGAGCAGCAGAGACCTCACATGATATGAGGTCATTAGTGTGTTGTTTTTGACAAATGTCTAGCCTCTCCTGTCGATGCACAGGCAATGTCTCCCTGTGGCCCCTGCCACCTACCAGGGTTCACAACCACTTGTCACCCTTCTGGCTGATCTATAGGGACTTCTTCTCTCATCTCTGGGAATAGAACACCTCTCCCAGTAGAACATAAGATAAAAGTATCAATATGATTCCAAAATTTAGTAAACAAAACAGAGCTCCTGCATTGAAGATATTCCTGTTGGTAGGGGTATAGAGGGCTTGTCCTAGCAGCTGAAAGGTGGTGTTCCCCATCCTTTCCCACTCAGGGATGATGTAGGAAGGAGACTTTGGATAGAGTTCTGCTCAGTGGTAAAGCCCACAGTGCCCCATGCAGTCAGTAGACAGGTTTCTTCACTTCTTTGTCCTTATCTCCCAGTTTTTGGTGAGACTGATATTGCTTATTTGCCTAACCCAGGCTTTGGATCCAGCATAGACAGCAGGGACAGGCTCTGTCCAGTGTGAGTGTCCATCCATCCATCCATCCACTACTATCTTTGTTCAGATTCCTGTATGCCCCAATCCACTGTGGATGCAGTGCTACATCCTCACTTCAGAGTTAAGCCCCTGGGCCTGTCTCCACCCACCCTGTCCAGGCTCTGCAAGGCCCAGGAGACTGACTTTCTCTGTGCTTGTGCTGCTGGAGAGAGGGTTCTATGACATTCGTGGAATCAGTTCACAGAAGAGAAGCCTAGACTGACCCTCCAGGCCAAAGATGGGCCAGCATAACAGGATTCCCCATCTTCTCTCTATTTTCCTCCAGAACCAGGAGCACAGAGCTACACAGAGCAGGGACCCCAAGATAGAAGTAATTTTTCTGCCTCTCATGTCCCTAAGAGGCACTTCCTCTCAGGAGGGCCACAGACAATTTGTGATCATCCTTGACTTTCACCACTCCAGACATACAAGTGGGAAGAAGAAAACCACACAATTTTTTTCTTTGCTCACCAGTAAAACAAATTCCATCAATACCAAAGCCAGCAAGAAGCAACTGCTTGACTCAGCCAGGGAAGCAATTTCAAGCCAAGTAAAAAAAAAAATATTTTGAGCAAAGGACCTGCCAGAGTCAGCCATTTGCAGCTTCACTCCCAGACTCATAGGATGCACAGGAGGATTCCCCAAGTGCCCCCAGGGATTTTCCACCTGCCCAAGTACACCCTGTGAGCACTGTTAGGCTGACAATGATGCTGCCTTTTGACCAGTTTTGGTTGGGTAATGGTTACAGGTTCTGGTGACACTATAATCTCACATTTTAATTGATAATCTAAGTGTCTTTCTTGGATGGATAGAGATGACTTCTGAATGAACAATCTTCCTCTGCTGGAAAAGTCTTTCAAAATCTGGGTTTCACGTGGGGACAACCAAGAGGGTGTTGTGTAATGAAAAAGGGCTGGGAACTGGTACCTTCATGAGTTTCCCCTGGAGGGAGGGAGGGAGGACACAATTGCACACTGACATGTGCCATTTCCACTAGCACAGCATTCAATGGGATTGGTACACACGACCTACAGTGGAACCAGAATCTGCTTTATATAAATGAGTCTTTAACAAGGAAAGCAAAACTCACATTTTCACCTTTCTCACAGAGTTCCGTGTTCTCTGTGATGTACTTATCTGAGCACTATGCTTCCCAGTCCTGGGGTTGGGTCTGCCTTTGTGAACTCAAGGCCTAAGTGAAAGTCAAGTTCCCAAAGGCCATCTGCTCTCTACCAAGTAGTCATGTGCTTCTGCCATACAGGCTTCCTCTTGAAGGCAGTCCCATCCTGGCAAGGACAGAGCCCTGTCATACTGAGAGATGAAGCAACCTAAAGGATTCTGCTCAGCTCCCCATGAGCTTCCCCAGATTTTCCGAACTTGTTCTCCAGTTGCTCAAATGCTGACCCCCTTTTTGCAGGAGATGAACAGGCTTCCTTGGCTCGCTCTCCTCTTCCTGGCCTGGGTGTGTCTAACGTTAACACCATCATGCACTGGATGCAAATGATTGACAGAGGCCTTACCTCATGGGACAAGTAGAAGGCGGCGATGCCCAAAGGCCAGAAGCAGCAGAGCATGGAGAAGACGCTGAGCCCCAAATGGTCACGTGGGGGCATCATGAGGAAGTTGTCCTCACTCTCTGTGTCACTTGAGTAGTCACTCTGCAGAGAAAACAGGCCGAATAGGAGAGAAGATTAGTAAAGTAATCATCGTCGGGCTGCCCCACAATGTGGGTACCACTCCTGGCTGAAGCAGGCTCACTGCAGCTGCTCCTGCAGCTGCTGTTGCTTATCTCATTAGTGTCACCATGATTGCCTAGAAACACATAGCCTCAAAACAATGATGCCTCTACTGAGGAACTCTGACCAAGAGCAGGAATCCCAACACAGGATTCTTGGGTAGTTCAACAGTAGTTAAAATCCTAGAGAAACCAATTTCAGCACAGATGGTCCCCAATTTTGGATGACTTAACTTACGAATTTTGAATCAATGATGGATATATGAAAGTATTGAACATAGTTTCAACTTAGGATGTTTTCTACCTATATTGTGATTATTAGGACTCTAATAGGAGCACCTATTTTCAAAGATCTTTGGGATCTTAGTGCCAGGACAGTGAGGGTGAACATGGAAACTATCAGAGGATGGCATTAGGGACTTTCAGAAGGCTTTCCTCTTGTGTTTTTTTTTTTTTTTTTAAGACTTCTTGCTAGTTTACAGGACATTGCAGGACAAGTATGTATAAAAGGAGAACATGATCTTATAAATCTCCCCTTCCAGTTTCCTTTGACTCTGAATCGAGTCAGGACATAGGGGGTTCTCATGTTCACCTCTAAGCTCCATCCTAAGAAAATAACGGCTGCTTTGGAAGAAGCTACCTTTAGATACTAGTCTTTCTGTAACAGGGACCATTTATAGGTAGGGCTCAGTCCAGGCCTGACCGAGAATGTCCCCAGAGTTCTGAATTAGGGGGGGATGGGCGACTGGCTGGGCTTAGAAATTTTTTAAAAGAAGCTTAAATGATTCTCAACTTTAGCCAGCAATGAGAATCACTGCCCAAATCTCCCCAAAGGGGCTCATCAGTGTTCCCTGGGTACTCAGTACCAGATGCCCTGCAAATCTCTCTTACCCTAGGTGTCTCTGTGGAGGCCATCTTTGTTTTCTACCTTCTTTTATCCCTGGCTGGCCTCCTATTGTGATTTATTTATTTATTTGTTTTGTTTTGCCTCATCAAAACATGTCCTCTTCACTCTGACTCATCAAAATATCAGGGTCACTCTTTTCCACCTGTTTATTTTATATAAAGATGGAATCATAGCTTTCTCCAGACGTCATTTCCTAAAAAAAAAAAAAAATGGTACATTTCATCTTGAGGTTAACTTCCTAACTCCCTTTGCTAGTGGTTGGCAGAGGAACTGGCTGCAGGGTAGAGATGCTCAGGAAGCCATGGTGGTAATTAGGCTATGAGGGGACATCCAAGTGAACACCAGCCTGCCTCCCCACTTGCCCTGGGCCCCCTGAATCCTCTCCACAGATATTCTAGTCACAGACACTGAGGAGGTTCACAGGTGATAATGGTGTTCTTCCTTATTTCTGCAAGTTAAATGCACATAAACCTGCCAGTCAGAGTCTCTAATTCCTGTTCAGAAAGCAGTGGTGCTGAGGTGAGATAATAGGGACTCCCTGTTAGGCTTTTGCTTTTCTCGAGTCAAAAGAGAGAAAATAGGCTCATAAATATCCATGAGTTCATTCAGATAATAAGCAAGGACTTCTCCAGGTGGTACTAGGATGGACACTGGTGAACACACAGAGTCTGTCCACCCCACCACACACAGGTCAGGGGATCTGAAGCATCATTCCAAAAACAAGGGATGTGATCTGCCAGAGGCCACAAGACCAGCTCCTGGCCAAGCTTCCATCCTGCAGATCACTGTTCACTCTCTGCCCGGGTGTGAGTCACTGCCATCTGGTACACTGTCCTGTCAACATGTCTGGGACTGTATTGCATCCCATCCACAGGAGCCTTGTCTGTGAAATTTCTATTCTTTTTACTATGCACACCATCTCCCATATGGTCTTCAGAACAGTAAAGGGAAATGAAAATTACCATCATTATGGCTATCAGAGATGGAAAACGAAACAGCCCACAGGAATGCATAATTCATGTGGGGAGATGCGAGGGCCGTGGACGGTCCAGGTGGAGATGAACGATTCCCAGCCCACTGGAAAGTCGGAATCGTCCATCAGAATGAAGAACGAGCAGCACTGAATTGGAATGTATCCACGGCTGTGCCTCTTCACACACAAATAGCCCTGTCACCTCAATGCTTTCCAGATCTCCCCCTGAAAACAAGCGACTTCAGGGTGTCAGGGGACCACTGGTGTTTAAAAGGACTAGTCTGTGACAAACTCACCTCTATCCACAGATCAGATTCAGAGGGCAGACAATCAGGCTGCAGGAACAGCCACTTCCAGCCCTCAAATCAGACTTTGACCTTCATGAGCTTCACATCATGGGTGGTGACAGTGCAGATGGAAATCTTTGCATCTATAAATATATCCATCTTTGCATATTTGTTTAAATTTTTAGTTTGGGGGATTTTTTTTTTAATTTACAAAGAGTTTTACACACTTGAGCTCACTGCTTTCTCACAGCAACTCTGGAAATGATCACAATTTTTATTGTCATGTCCATTTTACTAAGGACAGAGCTATTGGAGAGACTGAAATTCTTGCCAAATGACAGCACCACCCAGCTCGTGGCTGTCTGACTCTCTGATCCCTGTTACCTGACAGGTCCTGAGTGCCATCTTTGGAAACAGATGGTTTACACACATAAACCTACTTTACCTCAATTGCTCCTACATGTTCCTTCCTGTTGCCCCTGAAACTTCACCTTTTGATTGGTTTGTTTCCTGGTAGCCAATGGCCACAGTGGTATCGTGAGGTTTTCCCCATCACATAGACAGGGCTCTGGGACTCTGCGCCTCAGCACATGGGCCTGATGTAAGCACTGACTCTGGTGTTGGAAACTGAGAATTACATCACCCTTCCCAAGAAGCAAAGAAATAGGTTTCAGGGCTCTGCCATTAAATCTTCTCAGATACTTACTCAGAAGCATAAAGAAAGCATGCATTCAGATTGCAAAGTTGTGGTTCATGACACCAAAATTATTAATAAAGGTTGATTAAAATAGATTTTCAAGACTCAGAAAAATAATAGAGCACCCAAAATCATCCTGGCTCTTTTATTCCTTTATTCTTTCATTGGCAGGTGATCCATGGGTACAGTGGGTGTGGGCATCATACCACAAAACAGGGAGAATGGGAGACAAAGCCAGGTGGGAGATGTTGTGTAGATACCAACAACCAATCAGAGGAAATGCGTACAACTAACACCAAGAAATCTCATCATGCACAGCAGCTGACTTAAAAAAAATCTCCTTTATGGGTCATTGAATTGGAACCACTGAAAGACAGATGGAAAGCATTTCAGAGACTATGGTTCATGTGGAAGCCCACCCCCCCACACACACACACACCATTTTGAGTTAAACCTTTGGAAGAAGCAGAGACAGGCAGACCAAAGCAAGATCCTGGGCTCCAGAGCTGGTGCCCTGCTGGTTGGGCTGCTGCCCTTAATTCTCTGCCTATTCACATCACCTCCATTTAGAGAGATGATGGCTCTCAGTCTTCTGGGAGTCTCCTTACTAGACTATTTTAATAAAATAATCCTAACATCAGGCACAATGCCAAGGGTTTTGCACATCACAAGGTTCCACATTCAGGGAAGCACCATGCGCAAGAGTTATGAGAACAGTTTCAGGGCAACCAAGTTGGACTCAGCAGTGTCACCTGGTCTCCCTGAAGCTCTCATCAACAGCCTCTGGGCTTCTGACTGTCTCCCTTACTCCCCTGGCTCTCTGTGCTTTACTCATCCCGGCAGTGTGATATCACTGTGTGATCCTAGAGGAGGGGGCTTACAATGTCTGCATCTGTATTGAGCAAAGCAGCCACTGGCCACATGGAGCTATTTAAACTTAAAATATGACTAACAGCTAGTTCCTCAGTTTCACTACACAGTCAAGTGGCCAAGAGCCACAGGGGTCTAATGACCAGCATATCAGAAGGCACTTGAATATTTTCAGCATTTCAGAAAGTTCTAGTGAACTGTGTTGTCTTAGGGGATCTGATCCTGATGAACTCGAGTGTATTCTCTTTTACGTACAAGAACCCTCTGTTGTTCCTCCAACATGCCAGGTGTGCTCATGCCTGCCTCAGAGACTTTGCACTTGCTGTCCCTTGGTCTGAAACACTTCCCCCACAAACACACATGGCTAGCCTCCTCACCTCAGGAGGGGCTTTTGCTCCAACTGTTATTTCTCAACAGAGCTTTCCCTGGATGCTGAAGAGATTGTCTCTGTCTCCATAACGCCTCTATTTTTTTACTTGCTTGGGGTTTCTCCTCTCCATCTCAGTAGTACTGACTTTCTCAACTCCCTTATTCTAAGCACCCGGAGGGGAGAGATCTGTGCCTACTTTGTTTGCAGCTGTATCTTAAGCACCTAGAAAATTAACCAGCACATGAGAGGATCCAATGCACTTTTGCTGAATAAATGAAGACTAAATTATGCTATGTGCATGTATGAATATATCACAATCCATTTCCAATTTTAAATATAACTATAATGTACCAATTAAAAATAAATAAATAAATAGAAGGAAGACCAATAGAGCAGAAGAAGGGAGGAGGGGAGAAAAAAGAGGAAATTCTAAGGATCAAATTGGATCAAATCTGATGAATATATTAAAATGAACCCCACTGTAATATAATTATAATATAATATAGTTATAATGCATTAGAAAAAAAAATAAGGATTCACCTGTTGTCTTACCAAACATGAAAAACAACAACCAAAGTGGCAAAACTCTCAGAATCTGGGCAAAATACACTGGGGTGGCCAAAGGATATGTGGGATTTATCATTGCTCATAAATATGCTACATTTAGTCCTCTTGCTTGACCTGCGCCTGCTCGTACCCTACCCTGAAATGCCCTCCTATGTTCTCCAGAACATACATCCTCACCATTCACCCAGGTGAGACCACTGGGTTTGGAGGGGTGGTAAGAATGATGAGTTGGCCAGGTTCAAGGCTGCCTTA